CGCGTCCAGAATCATAAAGTCGCTGTTAGCACGCGTGCGTCGACAGTGTTAAATTTTGCTATTTTTCAAGAGAACTATTAGATTGCGACCTTGAAGAAGTTTTAACTTCCCGATGAGTGGAATACAATGCAAAAAAAAAGAAATTTAACCTTAAAAGTCTAACAGCGACTTTATGGTTATATTTACACAATTTTCGTTATATTTCATTAACATTTGATTTATCATAGTTGTGGCATCGGTGCGAGTCTAAATAGTCAAGTGACAAAACTGTTAACACTATTCGAAATATAAACATTATGCGTCCAGAATCATAAAGTCGCTGTTAACACGCGTGCGTCGACAGTGTTAAATAGTTAAGAACTTTTTTTGCTATTTTTCAAGAAAACTATTAGATTGCGACCTTGAAGAAGTTTTAGCTTTGCGATGAGTGGAATATAATGCAAACAAAAAAAAAATTTTAACCTTAAAAGTCTAACAGCGACTTTACGCGTCCAGAATTATAAAGTCGCTGTTATCACGCACGCAGTGTCAACATTTTTGCCACTTTTCAAGAGAACTATTAACGACCTGTGATTCCTTGGAATAATTTTACCTTCGTGATGAGTAGTAGAGCACAAACGTTGAAATTCGAGGTCAAAGTCAAGTTCTTGTATCTCCATTAAACTGAAGCATTACGATAGCTACGGACAAACTTTTCTTTCCACCCTGTACAAGCTCCGATCAAACCCGAGGGAATGCTGAACGAAATTTAGAGGAAATTTCGCGGAATCTCTGCCCTTGCCACGCCGGGGAACAGAACGCGCGAAGATCAATCTGGCTAACATGGTTCGCCATTCTTCGATTCGCCACCGCTGATCCCGTCGGCAGCCGAGGGGGAGCGGCTCCCTCCGCGAAAGGAGGAGCTTAATCCAAATTGAAGAATAATATCGTTGGTTAATCCTGGCCCCGGGGGAGCCATGGGAGATTCGTGAGAAGAAAGTCGCCGGAACACCGGCTCGAGAATACGAATAGCCTCGGCGGATTTAAATATTTCGAATGGCTGGGCAGACGTTCGACACGAGCACGAAAGAGAGAAAGAGAGAGAGAGAGAGGGACGTAGCGATAAGCATTTCTCGCCGGTCTGACAATGAGACCCTTTGTACTCTCTGTTCGCTTTTCCCTTGTCCGTTCCCGCGATACTCCCTGCTATCCCCTGGTTAAAACCATCTTCAACGATTTTATCCCTCGCCTCTCCGGCTTATAAACGCTCTCGAACCGCTCTAATCGAAATGCCCTTTACTCTTGC